TTTAAAAGGTTGAGCCCTGGGTGGTGTGCCTGAGTGGTTAGGGCGTCTGTCTACACACGGAAGGGTCTCTGTGTGGATTCCCCATCAGGGGCAGGCACTCCCCATCCCCGGCCAAGGCGCATGTGAGAGGCACCCAGTGGATGTGTCTCTCACACACTGATGTTTCTCTCTCTCTCCACCCCCTCCCTCCCTTTCACTCTCTAAAAAAAACAAAGGAAAAATATCCTCATGAGGATTAACAAAACAAACAAAAAAAGGTCGAGTAGGATATAAACTTCCAGGTCCTGGCCTGCCTCACTTCTATAAAATTAAGCAATGCCTATTCCTGGAGTATAATTCTAGTTAATAACTATTCACAAAAAAACATGCTATATTAAGAAATTTAAAACGGTTGCTTACATATGGACACAAGGAACGTACATATGGACAAAGAATAAACTCCTGAAAGAGTAATAAAAAGTCAACAATACAAAAGGTGCCTCAGGGAGAACCTAATAACCAACCGTCAGAGCCTTAGGCCTAGAGAAGCGAGAGAAGCTGGACCAGCCAGGGATGTCTTACAGGGAAGCAAGGCTTCGGGTGGGTTCAGAGAGCAGGCGATGTTAGGGGTAAACGAGGCACTTATGAATATTCAACCCGTGGCCAGCATCAGTCTGACAGAATGGCTGACAGTCCAGGGAAGGTCCCACTCTCGGGGTTACCAACATTTTCATTTCATCAATATATAATTTTAAAATAGGAAAGTAGCCGAAACCGGTTTGGCTCAGTGGATAGAGCGTCGGCCTGCGGACTGAAAGGTCCCAGGTTGGATTCTGGTCAGGGGCATGTACCTTGGTTGCAGGCACATCCCCAGTGGGGGGAGTGCAAGAGGCAGCTGGTCAATGTTTCTCTCTCATCGACGTTTCTAGCTCTCTATCTCTCTCACTTCCTCTCTGTAACAAATCAATAAAATATATTAAATAAATAATAAATAAATAGATAGATAGATAAATAAATAAATAAATAAATAAATAAATAAAATAGGAAAGTAATTTACCCCGACCAACAGACGAACCCCCTGGCTACTCAGGGCCGTAACAAGGAACACTCCCCTCATGTGTCTGAGGAACTGGGTGCATCCTCAGACCTGCCCTGCTCGCTGGGCTGTGAAGGGGCAGGCACTGAGCTTTGTTAGTGGAGTGTCACTGAACAGGGCTGGGTTACTCTCTTTACCATCCTTTTTTTTAATCCTCAACAGAGGGTATGTTTCCACTGAATTTTAGAGATGAGGAAAAGAAAGAGAGAGAAACATCGATTGGTTGCCTCCCTCACACACCCAGCCGGCAACCTAGGTATGTGCCTTGCCAGGGGAGAGAACCCCAACTTTTTGGGATATGGGATGGCGGGCCTACCAACTGAACCACCTGGCCAGGGCTGCATCACCCATGTTTTTAAATTTGCTTTTATTGTTCCAATGAAGAGTCAGAAAGATCATAAATCACTTCTGCTCCCCATCCACTCCTCTTATTGGCTGGAGTGTGATCCCGTCAGCACTATTGCTTGGATCAAGAAGTTACCAGGGTCCAGGCGGTGTGGCTCAGTGGTTGAGCATCGACCTGTGGTTTGATTCTGGTCAGGGCACTTGCCCGGGTTGCAGGCTTGATCCCCAATAGGAGGTGTGCAGGAGGCAGCTGGTCAATGATTCTCTCTCATCATTGATGTTTCCATCTCTCTCTCCCTCTCCCTTCCTCTCTGAAATCAATAAAAATATATTTAAAAATAAAAATAAAAAATAGCCAAGACCGGTTTGGCTCAGTGGATAGAGCGTCAACCTGCGGACTGAAAGGTCCCAGGTATGATTCTGGTCAAGGGCATGTACCTTAGTTGCGGGCACATCCCCAGTAGGGTGTGTGCAAGAGGCAGCTGATCGATGATTCTCTCTCATCGATGTTTCTAACTCTCTATCCTTCTCCTTTCCTCTCTGTAAAAAATCAACAAAATATATTTTAAAAAATAATAAATAAATAAAAATAAAAAATATAAATAATACTAAAGAAGCAGCAGGGAACTGTGAGGTCTGCCTCTCCATGGCAGGTCCTCCACGGACCCACAACACCCACATCAGCGAGGACACGCGCCTTCCTTCCTCCTAACGCTCACACTCTTGTCCCAGGTGCACACGAAGGAAGGAGACATCCAGTAGGAAAAAGACCTTTGGGCCCAGGGTCTGCCCAGTGGTTAGAGCGGCTGCAGTGAGGACAGAGGGGTCTCTCAGGCAGGGTCTGACCTGGTGCAGTTCCCACTGGGCGCTAAGACCCTGCTCTCTGCCCTCGGGGCACTTAGCCAATTCAACCGGGGTTCAGGGTTCGCACCCACTGCTCCGATGGCCTGATATCTTGCTGGTTTGTTCACCATCACATCCCAGAGCCTCAGTGCCTGGCATGTGGCAGGCGCTCTGTGCTCGGGAATGAGTGGATGGATTGAAATTAGCTGCGTTTCCTCAAAGGCCAGAGCCAGACGTGAGCATTCTGTTTCCACCGGAGCTCAGATAAGCTGGGAGGACCTGGGGCCGCGGACAGGAGGCGCCTGCAGGCTGCCCGGGCTGGTCTGTCATGCAGGTGCAGGTCGATGGGAGCAGAGATCAAATGCTCAGAAGAAAGGTCCAGAAAGTACGCCACCCCCCCCACCCCCCCCCCGGAGATGGAACGGGAGTCAGCTCCGGCAGAAGGCACAGCGCAAGAGGCCCATCATCCCCAGAGCACCCCATCGCCAGACCCTGAGCCTAGGTAATGCCTGGATGCACCCTCTGATTCAGAGGAAAACCCGCCAGGATCAGAGCCCTCCGGTGGGGTCGGGGGTCGGGGCTGTGCACCAGGCAGCTCCACGAGAGGAGATGGAACACGCAGGGCTTGCTCCGGGAAATCAGAAATCCGCGCCTGGACTCGGCTGTGTGCTGCTCTGTGGCCCCTCAGGGGGGTTCTCACAGACCCTGGACTCTGGCTGACAAAGGGGTGTGGGGGGACACCGTCCCTGAAGCGGGGAGCGGCCGCAGAGGGACCGGGAGGCGAGGCCCGGGCGGCGCAGGTGGCAGCGCTGCCGTGGCTCCCGCCCAGCGGGCCTGGCACCGCCGCCTGGCACTGCGCCCTGTTCCTCAAAAGCCCGCGGGTGCACTTACTGCAGCCCCTCTTTTAACAAACCATGGCACCGCGCCGAAACCGGTGTGGCTCAGCGGATAGAGCATCGGTCTGTGGACTGAAAGGTCCCGGGTTTGATTCCGGTCAAGGGCATGTACCTTGGTTGCGGGCACCTCCTTAGTAGGGGGTGTGCAGGAGGCAGCTGATCGATGACTCTCTCTCATCGATATTTCTAACTCTCTATCCCTCTCTCTTCCTCTCTGTGAAAAATCAATAAAATATATTATTTAAAAAAAACAAACAAACCGGGAGCCCTGCCTGATGGCCACACTCCAGCAGGTGGCTCCCATCGCGCCTGTTGACCAACACCCCCCCCCCCCGCCGTGCCAGCACCCCAAATGGCACCCCAAATGGCAAATGCGCACCGCGCGGTGAGGCCCCGCGGAGGGGGCCCCGCTGCCGCCCACCCCGCCTCCTCCTGGGGGGGGGCCTCCCGGCGCCGCAGGGCCCCCCAAGCCGCCCAGCGCGAGCCGAGCGGACAGAGGACACTTGGGGGGAACCAGGGGCGGACGGCGGGCTGGGGAGAGGGGTTGCCGGGGGAGGGGGAGGACCACCCGGCAGACAGCTGGGGGGGGGTGCAGACGGAGGGGGTGGGGTGGGGAGGGGAAACTCAACCCCCTGCCGCCCCGCCGGCACCCCGTCTGTCTGCCTGCGGAGGGCTCGGGTTCTAACACGTGGACCCCGGGGGGTGGGGGTGGGGCGGCCTAGGGGGCGTGCAGGAAGCAGCCCACAGATGCCCCCCCCCGCCCCCGCTTTCTGTCTCTAAAAAGCAAGTTGGAAACGTCTTCACAAACACACAGGTATCCGAACCGGCACCCGTCCCCTCGGCGCCCGCGGAGCTCGGGGCAGGCGGGGTGCTGGGACCGTCTCCGAAAGCAGAGAGGGGTGTCCCCGATCCCCCGGCTCCCCGAACCCCGACTCCCCGATCCTCCTGCTCCCCCCCCCCGCCCTCCCCCTCCCCCCCCCCCGCTCCTTATCCTCCGGCTCCCCGATCCCCCGGCTCCCCGATCCCCCGCTCCCGGTCCGGGATGTGGCCGCGGCCCTTCTGCCGCCCGGCCCCGGGGAAGGGGTGTCGGCGGCGGAGGGGAGGATGCGGGGCGCCTGGAGGGGGTCCTGGGCCGCCCGCGGGCTCCAACATCCGGCAAAGTTTCCGCTCTCCGGGCCGGACAGCCTGGCTCACCAGCCGGAGCAGGTGGGCGGCGGGCCGGGGGCCGCACCCTCCAGGCGCCCTTCCATCTGCGGGGGCGTCCCCGCCCGCCCCCGCGGCCCGGCTCCCCGCTCCCCGCTCCCCCTGCACCCAGCGCGGCTCACCGAGCCCCATTCCCGCTCCCCCAACACCCAGCCCGGCTCCCCCAGCCCCGCTCACCGAGCCCCAACACCCAGTCCGGCTCCCCGCTCCCCAACACCCAACCCGGCTCCCCGCTCCCCCTGCACCCAGCCCCGCTCCCCGCTCTCCCAGCCCCGGCTCCACGCTCCCCCAGCCCCGCTCCCCCAGCCCCACTCCCCAGCCCGGCTCCCCCTGCACCCAGCCCCGCTCCCCGCTCCCCCAGCCCCGCTCCCCGCTCCCCCAGCCCCGCTCCCCGCTCCCAGCCCCGCTCCCCGCTCCCCCAGCCCCGCTCCCCGCTCCCCCAGCCCCGCTCCCCGCTCCCAGCCCCGCTCCCCGCTCCCCCAGCCCCGCTCCCCGCTCCCCCAGCCCCGCTCCCCGCTCCCCCAGCCCCGCTCCCCGCTCCCAGCCCCGCTCCCCGCTCCCCCAGCCCCGCTCCCCCAGCCCCGCACCCCCAGCCCCGCTCCCCGCTCCCCGCTCCCCCTGCACCCAGCCCCGCTCACCGAGCCCCGGCACGAAGGTGTTGAGGAAGAGGCAGAGCACGGCCAGCGGGAAGGGCAGGCAGGGGATGGCGGCGCGCAGGGGGCCCTTCTTCTCGCGGACCTGCACCACCACCCCGCTGCCCGCCGCCCGGGGCGCCGCCGCCCGCTCGGCCTCCTTGTGCGCCGGCTCCATGGCGGCTCCGGCTCCGGGCGGCTCCCGGGCTGGGGCAGCGGCTCCGCCGGCGGCTGCAGCTCCGCGCCCGCTGCCCGCCGGGCTCTGAGCTCCGCGCCCCGAGGCGGGGCCGGCGGGAGGGGACAGCGCCCCCCGCCCCGCCTCCCTCCTCCGGCTCCCTTCCCGCCCCAACGGCCCCTCCGGGCGGGGCGAGGCCAGCGAAGCGGGAGGGGCGCGGGAGCTGGTGTCCACTCGGAGGACGGGCAGGCCTCGCCCCCGGACGGGGCTGGGGGGACCCTCCGCCCGGGCGCCGGGAGCCGCCGCGTGCTCCGGGGGCGGGACGGTGGGCGGTGGGCGGGGCGGGGGTTGGTGGGCGGGGCGGTGGGCGGGGCGGGGCAGGGTTTGTGGGGAGGTGGGGGCGGGGGTTGGTGGGCGGGGCGGGGTTTGTGGGCGGGGCGGTGGGCGGGGCGGGGCAGGATTTGTGGGGAGGTGGGCCGTGGGCGGGGCGGGGGCGGGGTGCGGGGGCGGGGAGGGGGCGGGGCGTGGACAGGGGGTGGGGGGATGGGGGGATGAGATTAGGGGGGTGGGGGAGGTCGGGGGGGGGCGAGGGCGGGGCGGGGCGGGGCAGGGTTTGTGGGGAGGTGGGGGCCGTGGGCGGGGCGGGGGCGGGGTGCGGGGATGGGGGGATGGGATTAGGGGGGTGGGGGAGGTCGGGGGGCAAGGGCGGGGCGGGGCGTTGAGGGTGAGTCCGGGGATCGGAGGCGGCGCCTGGAACGTGAGGGAGGTGGAAGCGAGGAACTGGGGAGCCTGGCGCCTACGTAGTAGACCTTCAGGTCATCCTGTTCGAACTGGTGTGTTCCCGGAGTAACGGGACCCTGGCCTGGGGCAGAGGGAGCAGGAGACAGCTCTGCAAGCCCGCCCGTCTCCGCGCTGATTAAAGGGGCCCCCTTCCCCCTCCATCCAGGCAAATACCAGGGCGGCGGGGCGGACCTGGGACGGGAGCGGAGGAAGGCCACCCATCTGTCTCTCTAACTCCCTGTCTCCGTCCCTCTCCCTCTCTCTCTGTAAGCAATGTCCTCAGGTGAGGATTATTTTTAAAAAGGGGGACCCCCGCCACAAATACACCCGCCAAAAGCGGAAAGCCATGACTTGCTGCGGGATGGGGTGCTGGGTACCACCTCTGCACTGTCCCGGAGGAAAGCAGGCCTGGGGGGTAGGGGGCGGGCCAGGAAGCCAAGGAGGACCGTCTGGCCTTGGCCATGGCAGTTGATAGAAGCCAGGGGAATAGCCATCTGTGTCCGAACCAGCAGCTTTGAGTAGATTTTCCCAATCACGCCGCCCTCACGCCACCCCGGTGCCCAGCAGGCCTTCTAGTCCTTCTGTTCAAATGGGAAAAGGGAGCTTTCAGGATGGAAGCAATGCTGCTTACCTCTGGGGTCTAATGCATCGAAGCATCCAGAAATTCAGCAAATCGTGGGGAGAACTGGGAGGGTGCCAATCCACTTCCCAGTAACCCCCTTCCTCCCGGAGCGAACAGCATGGGCTCAGGGCGAGGCGCCCAAAGGGGTATTTTACTGCTACTGATTAAAGAATATTTTGAAATATATTTTATTGATTTTTTTTACAGAAAGGAAGGGAGAGAGATAGAGAGTTAGAAACATCGATAAAAGAGAAACATCAACCAGCTGCCTCCTGCACACCCCCCACCAGGGATGTGCCCACAACCAAGGTACATGCCCTTGACTGGAATCGAACCTAGGACCCTTCAGTTGGCAGGCCGATGCTCTTTCCACTGAGCCAAAAAGGTTCCGGCTGATTAAAGAATTTTAAAAGCAGGTGGCCAGCAGGGGTGAGTGGTGACACTGGTGGACACACACACACACACAGTAACTAGCTTCAGCCTGGCAATCTGCAGAGAACAAGAGGGAAAGTTTTAGCGGCCATTCAGCCACTAATTGCCTGTTTCACTCAGAAGAGCTCAGTTAGCCTCTTCTGGGCTGGAGTCACTGGGATTACAAAACCAAAGCAAGGCCCGATGTGATGCACGTTTATCGAGGGCCTCGTGTGACTTCGCTGTGGGTGGGGAGCAAGGCCTCTGCCTTGGAGGTGTCACAGGGGAGAATGGCAGACGGTGCTGGTGTGACTGCGGGGGGCTGCGGTGCTGGAACAGGAACCTGCCGGAAGCCAGCCCCAGTGGGGGAGGCCACACGGAGGCCGCCCCAGGAAGGTGAGACTGAATGAGACGTGAGCACTGACTGGAGTTAGCTACTTGCTGGAGATGTATTCTATTTTTATTTGTTTAAAGACCAAGCTACTTTTATCAAAGACCAGAGGTCTGGTGCACGAAATCTGTGCACTGGCAGAGGTGAGGTCCCTTCAGTCTAGCCTGCGCCTCTCGCAGTCCAGGACCCTTAGGGGATTTCTGCCTGGATTTCCCAGGGACTGGGCCTAAGCTGACAGTCAGACACCCCTCTCACAGTCCGGGACCCCTCACTCCTGACCGCTCGGCTTGCTGTTCCTTAGCCCTGCCACGGAGGTGGAAGAGGCTCCTGCCACCACCGCTGCACTCACCAGCCATGAGCCAGGCGTCTGGCTGAGTGGCCCTCCCCCTGTGGGAGCGCACTGACCACCAGGGGGCAGCTCCTGAGTTGAGCGTCTGCCCCTGGTGGTCAATGCATGTCATAGCGACCGGTCATTCCACCATCCCGTCAATTTGCATATTAGCCTTTTATTATATAGGATATTATATAGGATAGCATGCCACACAGATTTAAGCAATTGTGTGTTTATGTGATCCTTTGCCTTTCTCCAAAATTCTATCTCTGGTTGGGTATTAATTTTTTTAATAATTGAGATTTATTTTCTTTTAAACAAACACTTCTTTATCCAAGCACTGCCTGCAGACACCATTCTAAGCAGTTTACACATTTTAACTCATTTAATCCTGACCACAACTCTATGACGTAGTATATGTTACCCATTTCACAGATGGGGAAAATGGAGCACAAGGAAGTTAAGGAACTTGCACAAAGTCACCCAGTAGTAAGTGATAGAGCTGGATCTGAATGCCACATAACTGCTCAGACACCTGGAATATAACCTTACATTTTACAGGTTCTTCCACGGAGAACCTCAGCTGTCTTAGCGCCATGCAAACTCACTGATTCCTGGAGGAAGGGGTTTCAGAGGAGGACGTGGAGTTACATTCCCCAGTTTCCCGGATGATTCATTTAATAACGGGGGTCAGAGAGCGATCAGGGCAGAACAAAGGTGCATAAAGGAAGGCAAGAAGGCCTAGACGGGTAGGACACTCCGGGAACTGCTGTATGGCTGTTCCAGGGCTCGTGTGGGTGGGCAGGAGATGGGCAGGAACCTCGGAATCAAGGGCAAAGGAATTGGGACCTGATCCTGGTGGCGATGTAGTCACTGGGACGTTGTAAGCAGGTGCGTGGTGTAAGTGTCCCAGTTACTGTTCTGAACGATGTAAAAAACTGCCCAACACTCACTGGCTTGGCTCCACCATTTTGTCATGATGACAAGTTTTGTGGGCCTGGAAAATGGACTGCGCAGCTGAGGCAGCTCTTCTCTGCTCCGCTATGTCTGGAGGCTCAGCTGCGAAGACTCAGTGGAGGCAGCTGGAACAGCCGGGACCAGAGCACTCACTTCCGAATCTGGTGCCTGGACTGGGGTAACTCCAGAGATCCCAATGGAGGGCACCCCATCTCTCAATGGAGCAATGTCAAAGGATCTGAACCGGGCTTTAAACTCACCACAATGGGTTATAGTTTTGGGAGAAAACCAGTTAATCATGTGGAGCATGGACTAGAGAGGGTCAAGTTGTGTCTGTCCCACGAGAGAGGACCTACAGGGATTGAGAATGGGGGAGGGATAGTTCCCAAATGCAAACTGGATATTATTAGCGAAGAGGAGAAGTTGAGTTTGAGGGTTTGAGGGCACTTCAGGGGTGGCAAGCACTTGTTGACCAGCACAGACAATTGTCTAGACAAAAGTTGGATAGTTAGCCCATCCAGAGCTTTGCAGAGCAATCTGGGCTGCAGATCTGGGCGCCATCAGCATACAAACGGTAGCTAAAGCCCAGTATATAAATGTAGACTAAAGAGAGGGCCCAGAGGGTACTGTAAATTCAGCACCAGGAGGAGAGAGAGGTTTAAAATGAGCCAGACGAGGAAGATGTTGGGGAGGAGCAGACAGCAGAGTCAAATGCCATCAAGGAGCCGAGTCAGACCCCAAAAATGCCTATGGATTTGGCACTTAAGAGGTTTAGCTCATTGGAGTCCCAGCTCAAAAACCTCACCCACTTGTCCATTTCCAAGGAATGTGTCCATTTCATCAAAGTTGTTGAATCTGTTGGCATATAGTTGTTCATAATATACTCTGATTATCATTTTAATACTGTAAAATCTGTGGTGGTGTCTCCTCTTTCAGTCCTCATGTTGTTCCTTCGGGCTTACTCTCTTTTCCTGATCGCTCTCACTAGGAGTTCACACCCCATCCACCTGACATTGTGATCACGGCTGATGTCTGGAAGAGAGTTTAAGATCTAGGCAATTTCAGGCAGGAAGAAGCCGCCAAATGAAAGTTAAAAGCTTAAAAAACAACCCCCTCAAAATCAGACACAGATATGAGGGGAAACAGATTGAACAGTTGGGTGACATCAGCCCTGCAGTGGGTCTGAAGACAGAACCTGTTTCTTGGCCTTGTTCTGTCATCAGCTGAATAAAGAGCCTCAGCTCTGGACCTCTTTTAGCTAAAAATAAATAAATAAATAAATAAATAAATAAATAAATAAATAATAATAATTTTGCTGAAGTCAGCTTCCAAACTTTACAAGTAATTTGTACACCAGCAGGGATGGCTCCTTTTGGCAGACAGGCATTTGAGCATTGTCAGTAGAAAGACAGACTTTGCTTAGAGATCTGTGTCTTTGAATACTTTCTTAATTTCTCTGAGCCTCAGAGTCCAAAATCCTATATCATAAAGTGGTGATATGCAAATTGACC